ATAAACATATGCAAATAATGAATTTCCTTTATGTATTTATAAATATATTCGCATAAACATATGCAAATAATGAATTTTCTTTCTAGACGTACTATTAAATAAATCTGAGGAAATTCGGTTAAAATGTCGAACTACGTGGAAAGAATAGACGAAATATTAAAAAATGCAAACAGTAAGAAAGTTACAGATAAAAGAGTATGTATGAATATGTATAATATATATAATAAACTTTTTGTAACATGTTATATAATATATTATCTTACTTTTTGTATCATTTACTTTTGTATTTTAATAGTTTGAAATTATTACTAGGTAAGAAAAGTAAGATAATCTAACTAATACTAATCAGTTTTTATGTAAAGTATATTGATACGTTTATGCTAAATGGAAATTACAATTTTTGTTTTAGAAATGTGTTTTAGAATTATTAGAATTATATGAAAATAAAGAAGTAATAGAAGAGATTTGTAAAAGTACAGAAAACCATTCACAGGGTGTTGCAAATTGGTCATATATAATACATATAGTTCATAAGATGCTATTAAATGTAAGTATAAATTTATTTAAGTTAATTTTATAAAATAAATGTGTTAAAATTAATCTTATGTTATTCAATTATCATTTTTCTTAAAGGAAACAGATAGGTTTACTTATAAGGATACTCATAATAAAGCAACCATTATCGAACGACAAAATATTTGTACACTTATACAAAAAACTTTTCAATATGCAAATTCTTATAAAATACCACTTTTAAAGTGTAAAGACATAATGCCTTTAATTTTGCAAATTCTAGGAACAAATATATATAAATATTATCATGAAACATATATAAATGTGCTAATTTCTTACATACTTCCATTCAGAACATATCAGGTGTATATGTTACCTGAACATTGGGAAGAATTATTAAAAATATGTGTATGCTTATATAAACATATATCTTCCCTTACAAGTAAACGAGCTGTTTTAGATGCCTTACAAATGATTATTAAATATGGTTGTTTGCATTCAAATTTACTTTTAAATGTAAAGAAAATACTATTATTTTTAGGTATGATAAAACTTTTAAAATGCATGATTTATTATATAGTTCCATATTAAAAATAGCAAGTATATATTATCTAATTTATAATCTGATTTTAGAAAATATCTGCCTTGATGTAAAAATAAATCAAGAAATTTTAGCAGAATCTAGTTATAAACTTACAAATACAGTATGTCAACAAGTAGCAACCGAATATAGAATTACTTTGTGTCTCTTTAGTGAAAACATTTTGCCAAATATAATTAGCTTAAAAAG